TGCCGCCACCGCGCGTGCTGTCGCCGCTGTTGCCGACGCCGGGCCCCGACATCCCGGCCCCGCCGCGGAGGGGCGAGGCCCGGCTCAGGCCCAGCTCTAAAAGCACAAGAGGGAAACCATCAGAGCCCGAGCTAAGGCTTGCCTGAGCGACTCTTACATTGTTTTCAAGAGACCTCCCCCCCCCCACTCCTCTGGTAGCCTTCACTCCTGTCCCCTTCTCCTTCGTCCTGCTGTCCCCCACCCCCGCCTCAGGCCTGTCCGTTCCTTTCCTCCAAGCTCTGCCGCTTTTGTACCTGCCCGAACATAAATAAATCGTGCAAACACGGCCCCCGGGGTACCCGTCGTTTCCCGAAAGGTTGACTCTTGATGAAGAGTCTAAGACAGCTCCGTTTTCTTCCTAGGATGTGTGTACGGCGGCGGAGTGTGGGGACACTTGCCGTGAGCATCAAGCGTGAGATTGGGGACTGTCACATTGGGGCGGACCATGAGCCATTCTTGAAGGAAGAAGAGGAAGAGGAACAGGAAGGAGAGAAGGACAGAGAGAGAAAGGCCGTCCCGAGAAACCCGAAACTCGGTGACACGCTTGCTGGAGGCTCCTGTCTGTTTCCTTTTCCGTCGCTGCCACGCGCGCGTCGCAGGAAGCTCGACCCTAAGTCCCGAGCGTGAGTCCTGAGTGTCTCCTGTCTTCACCTGGCCTTTGCACACACACCCTGCACACCTGTGTCTTTGTGGGCAGCAAGTACCCCGTTGGCACCAGGGACGCGTCCCAGCTTTCTTGGTCGCCATGGTCTGTAATTCAAATTTACAAAACAAAACATTTCTTGACCCTTGTCTCAAGACTCAGAAACGGAGGTTCTCTCCGAGGGATCCACATTTGGTTTTTTTAAAAAGAGGTCTCTTCCTCCGTTGGGGTCTTTCTGGCAAGCGGGCGGCGTTGGCTTCTCCCCGAAGTCCTTTTCCCTGGGGCGACTCCCGACTGCTGACGCCGTGCCGAAGCCTGCCACGATGCAGCCTTTTCTTTCCTTCTCTGCACCTCTGTCCTGTCTTGGCTTAAGTTCTGTTTTACCCCAAGGATCGATAGAGAGGAAACACGGATTTTTTTGTTTGTTTGTTTTTAACCGAAACTCTCGCCAGGGGAAAACCAGCAGCGAGAAAGGGGCGCCAGTTTGCGGCGAGGCGGGCAGGACTCCACTAATTAGAGCCGGTGAGGGTTGGAACCGACTCCGAATCCCCACCTGCGCCATCTCTATTTCCACCCACAGGATTTTAACTTACAGAGGTAAGTGAAAGAAGACTTTGTGACTCAAATTCTTGAGAAAAGAGGGCACCGCATGCTGCTGCAGGGCCATGTGGAGCAAAGGAGGTGGTCAGGAGGCAGGAGCAGGAGCAAAGGACACCTGGGCCACAGTCTTCATAGGGGTTCACGGGTGTCCCGACCTGCGGGAATTGGGAGTCGGTCTATGGAATTTGGAAGGGGGAGTGGGTAGGACGAGAGCCGCAAAGGAAGGGAGCATGACAGAAGTCTGATCAAGCCCCATTTAATGAGGAAAATAAGCTCCTTTTATAGAAACTCACAGGTGCAAGAGAACAAAAAACAATGGGTGGGGGTGCTGATTTTTTTTAAAAAGCGGTCTCTTCCTCCGTTGGGGTCTTTCTGGCAAGCGGGCGGCGTTGGCTTCTCCCCGAAGTCCTTTTCCCTGGGGCGACTCCCGACTGCTGACGCCGTGCCGAAGCCTGCCACGATGCAGCCTTTTCTTTCCTTCTCTGCACCTCTGTCCTGTCTTGGCTTAAGTTCTGTTTTACCCCAAGGATCGATAGAGAGGAAACACGGATTTTTTTGTTTGTTTGTTTTTAACCGAAACTCTCGCCAGGGGAAAACCAGCAGCGAGAAAGGGGCGCCAGTTTGCGGCGAGGCGGGCAGGACTCCACTAATTAGAGCCGGTGAGGGTTGGAACCGACTCCGAATCCCCACCTGCGCTATTTCTATTTCCTGTGGCTTGGGGCTGTTTGGTATTTAAAGTTTAAGGAAAGAAAAACTTCCTTCAGAGATGCCTATGCTCAGAGAAACTGAGGATAACTCCCCTCGCAAAGAGGAAAAACACTGACTGAGTTTGTTTTCTTAGCAGATCGAAAGGTGACAACTGACCTTTAGAGATGCTGGGGAGTAAGCAGGACCCCTATTTAAAAGTCGGTGACCACTCAGGCCCAGGGGCTGCGCGGCACCCCGGGAGCGTGTCTGCACCCTGCACCCTCCTGGTCACAACTCCGAGACCCTCCCACCCTGCGTCCCTGAAGGTAAGGTGTGTCAGCTGGGGACTGATGAAGCTTCTGAAGCCCACCAGGAAAGTCCCTTCCCTGCGCCGATCGCCGCTGCAGCCCTAGGCTCAGTTTCTGGATCCGGGCTCAGGCCCTTCCTCAGCGCACGGGACAGAAGAGAGGCCGCCCCGGGGTCGGCCAGCCAAGAAGGAAAGCCGCGCTTGCCTTCGGCTGTGAAGCGACGGCTGTGAAGCGACAGCTGTAGTCGGAAGAGCGCGACCCTTTCTCAGCAAAGCCGAAGTGAACGCCCAGTTGGCGGAGCAGCGCAGAGGGAGTTTAGCGTTCAGAGTCCGCTGCAGAAAACTCACCAGCTTCTTCGCGAACACAGCAAAGTTTAATGATCTCCAGGCTCCTGGAGCCAATGAACAGCCAGCTGCAACTAGGTGAATAACTCTAAACTAGCCGCTTAATCTTGTTTATTCGGTTAGCTTGCACCTTGAACCAATGAGCAGTGGCCCAGCCTGACAGAGGAGGCCCACCCTGCCAGGCGCTTCTCGAGGACCGGTGGTGAGAATGCCCACCGAGGAGCAGAGGTCTGGCGAGAGCAAGGCGGCTTTCTCACTCCTCAGAATGTCGGGACCCTCCTGCTAGAGCCTTCTCGGTCGGTCGCAGGAGCCCCGACGCAACATAACTCCGCGTCCTCCAGGTCTCCTCCCGCAGGCTGGACGCAGGTGCCGGGCAGGGCCTCGCTGCCTGCGCCTGGGTTGCGCCTTCAGGGACCTAGGGACAGGAGCCGTCTCCCACGGCTGCTAAAACCCGAGCTGCCCTTAACATGCTCCCTGCAGCAAAAGACCCGGCTCCAGAGCCCACCAGGGCCTTCCACTTCGGGAGGCTCAAACACTGCCTGGTCCCCACCTCCTGTCGTCTAAACTGGTGTGGAGGAACTGCGGGGCTGGCTAGGCCACTCAGCAAACCCCCAAACAGGGCCAGGCCGGCCGGATTGACCCCAGAGCCCATGGAGGTTCCACTGGCTACATTTTTTTTTTTTGCAGTGTTTAGTGTAGGGAGAGCTCGGAGATGCCTGTGAAAGGTGGTGGTGATGGAGCAGTAGGATTTCGCTGTGAGAATGAGAAACCGGAGGTTTGGGGAACTGCGGCCGTGAGTAGAAGTGATGCGTTTGTGGGAATCAGAGGAGCCAACCCTTAAGATTCAGAACCTTATTTTCTTTAGGTGAGCATGACGCCCACTGGGTGCCGGGAGAAGATGAGAGTGGAGGCTGAGAGGCCTGTCTTTTGGACTCTTCAGCCTTATTTTCTCTAGGTGCGCATGACTCCCACTGGGTGCCGGGAGAAGATGAGAGTGGAGGCTGAGAGGCCTGTCTTTTGGACTCTTCATATGGAAAATGGGAAGAGGCCCTCGGACCCAGGATGCTATGAGATGCGTTTTTTCCCACGCACCGATCAGTAGAGATCCCCTCCCCTCCCCCATAGTCCCCCTGTAGGAGCCAAGACCTTAGCGCTTACTCACGTGACTCCCTCGCCCGTTCCGCTTGCATCTCCATGTCCGCCTCACAGGGATTCCCAGGAGGCTCTGATAGGTCTTGCCTTCTGTCGCCGCTGCCGCTGCCACTAGCGGTGTGGTGATCATCTGACCCTCGCGGTTCTGGGGCCATTCGCAGGTACAGAGAGTTGTCGGGGTTCCTCCGCACTCCCCGGTGTGGCGAAACCGCCGGGCCGCTTTGCTCGCCCTCCAGCTGCAGGATGTAACTGACAGAAAAGGGGGTGGAGGTGGCCCGGCTCAGCAGCATCCCGAAGGCGGAGGGGCGGGGCCGAGCAGATTCAGGTCCCCGCCGAGCGCAGCTCCTTGAGCCTTCCGTCTTTGCAGTTGCAGGCCCCTTAGACAGACCCAAGCTCTGGGACAGACGCCCAGACTCCTGGACCGCACCTTCCTCTGGGCCATCCTTGCGGGCCGGGGGATCAGGGCTGGGTGGGGAGACAGCCGCCCCCCATTGGTTCCCGCAGAAACCACGTGCTAACCCTGCACTTTCCTCTCCAAGCGCCTTCTTCCCGCTCGCTTCTAATCCTCCCCAACCCCCAGTCTCCTTCCTGAGAAGTTTGGTTGTTATTGAGGGTTCTCAGAAGCAAAGAAAACGTGGGGAGACGGTGCTGCGCCCCAAGCGCCTTCTTCCCGCTCGCTTCTAATCCTCCCCAACCCCCAGTCTCCTTCCTGGGAAGTTTGGTTGTTATTGAGGGTTCTCAGAAGCAAAGAAAACGTGGGGAGACGGTGCTGCGCGCGGCTCCTATCTCCGTCAATACGGTACAAGCTAGAACTTTCGAGGACAGTCCAGGGTCCGCGAAGACCCTCCTAGAGGATGTGCGGGGATGGAAGCGTGGAGTTTTTGCTGTGCAACCCGAGTCGGTTCATCCGGCCTGGTCCTAGCTCAACTCCCCACTCTTAGGGCAAAGGAAAACTGAGGTAGAGACAGCTGGGCAGTGGCCAGATTTGAGGTGCACGCTGGGGTCTTAGCAGGCGCAAGGCCCGGACCCGGGAGGAGCAGGGACTCTTGACCCGCTAGGGCCTATGTTGAGGTGGAAACGTGGTGTTTAGAGCTGAGTCCAGGTCTGTGGAGCCCCGATTCGCCACTTCCCAACCCGTGAGCGAAGAAGGGCGGGGGGGCTATATTTGGGGAACCCCTAGCCTTTTTGACCACCCCGCAAGTCGTTGGGGTGGAGGAAGGTAATAGCTCCAGCCTGCGCGGAGATGCCAGAGAGGTACTCAGATTGCCCTTTTAGTCCCCACGTTTCTTCTCTTCCTCTCCTTTCTCCTCTATAAAGATGATTGCCTGGAGCGTGGGTGGGCACGTGCGTGTATAAACGAGGTTCGCACCCAGGGCGAAAAGTTTTGCTTTGCGTCAGATCTCCAGCAAAGCTCCTTGGTCACAGCTGGCACCGAGCAAAGGCAACAGTGTGGTACAGTGCTTACGATTGTGGAGACAGAGTCAACAGATCCAGGCCTTGCTTTGGAACATAACTGTGGGCTTTTGGGCAAAGTATTAACCTCTCTAAACTTTGTTTTCATAAAAAATATAGATAAGAGTTTGCCCATCATAGTAGGATTGCTAGAATTAAGTGAGATAATGTGTATGACATTGACGAATGTCCACTGCTGTTATTACTTATGCTACGTGGATCAAGATACAAGATAACATGATTCAGCAGTCCCAGCACACAATCGAAGGTGTTTTTAAATCTTTAAAAAATCAAAATGGGATCTCACAAGAGTTCTTCCTGAGATTTCATATCAAATGTTTCTTAAACTCTCTTAAGCGAATTCAATGTTACAAAAGCTATTAGGATGTTATTTCCTGAAATTCAGATGAATGAACTTGTTTCCCTGGGAGAGAGGGTGCAAAATTTCAAGCAAAACTTCATGCAAAATTTCAGCAAATTTGATTGTTCAGCCATCAAGTAATGATTTCTTATACACGGTATAATTTCATCTTCATATCAAAGCTATACCCTGAATGTTTCCAGCCTTCCCCCCCCATCCCCCCCAGAACGGAGTTGAGATCAGAGAAGTCAGGCAACTTCCAAGGTGGCCTAGCTCATTAATAGCAGGGCCAGTCTAGCACCTCGCCAAAACCAAACCTTTCCTTTCTTAATTTTTGGAATAGACATCTTTTGCCCTCAGAGATCTAAAAATCTTATGATGAAACATACATTCATTAAAAATTTTTTTTCCAATTAAAAAAAGTCATCATGTACACCATGGAAAAAATAGAAAATAGAGAAAAATTGAAACGAAAATAACATTCATCCAGAGTTAACATGTTAGCACATTTCCTTCTCTATTTATTTTTGCTAATATGAGCTCATTCGTATATACGAATTTGTATATATTTAAATTTACATCATAAGTATGTCTAGTACTTCATTAGAGTTTTAAAAACAAATATAATTTAAAATAATCTAATATTCCATGTTATGAGTGGACCATAATAAACTGTTTATACTTTTCAAACTTTTCATCACTGTAAATAAGGCTTTATTTTTGTGCTTTCATCCCTGACAATGTTTTCATTTCCTCAGGATACATATGTAGAAGAAACATTAATGAATCAAATATTTTAATGCTCATAAAACATATTATCTCACGACTTCCTAGAAAAATAATGTTATCGCATCCTCCCCCCAGAGGTGTAGGGGAATGTCTGGCTGACGGATATTTACAAGAACCACCAGACACCACAGCGAGAGAGGGCGAACTTCGAATATCCTCATTCAGAGGACAGGGGGTAGGAGCTCCGCCCCCTGCACTCCAGCCGGAGCAAGACAGGCTCAGCTCAGTCCCCGCCTTCCCAGGGCTGTGGTCGGGAGGGGGGCGACCCCGGATAAAAACCTGAAGCCACAAACTCGCCAGAGCATTATCGTAAGGTGGAATTTTCGTGGCGGACAGTCGCACTCTGGGAAGTCGTAGAAGAAAGGACACCTTGGGAGGGACTTGGCGTCGAAAGCCCTGAGTTCAAATTCTAGCCTTAGGTCCTAGATCTGGCCTTCCTGGTATGTTGCTAGGATCAAATGAGATTTTGGAGGCGAAAAGGCTTTCTAGCCCCTTGAGAGCGATGCAAACACAAGTGCTTGCTGCGAAAAGGGCTGACTTGGCTCAGGCTCGGGCGCACCCAGACCAAAGCTGGCAAGAAGTGCCCATGTCACGCTGTCGCCCAACTACTGTGGGAAAGAGACTTTCTTCCACCTCAGGGAACTTGCATGGCCGTGTTCTGATCTCAGCTGTGGGCGCTCTCAGCTCGCCCGGGTCTCACTCTCCCTAATTCACCTCTTGTGGCTCGGGACCCTTGGGAGCGGGGCCGGGCGGTCTCCCCGTGCCCTCTTCCCCTCCAGCGCCAGGGCGCATTGAGAGCCGCCCGCTAGAGAGTGGAACCAACAGCTGTTATCTCGCCCGTTCCGGGTAAATTGGGACCGCATTAGCACAAGGGCGGCACGAGCGACCTGGCCACTCAAAGCGCGCGCCGGGAGGGCGAGGAGTAAGTTAGGCTCGCAGGCGAGAGCAGAAAAGCCCGGGAGTCCTGGGGCTCTTCGGCAGGGCTCCGCGCAGCCCCCGACAGTGTGGTGCGGGGTATCAGGAACCGAGGGGTCTCCTGCTTTTTGTCCGAATTTGCATGTGCACCGCAGACATTTAAATGATCCCCGTGCAATGTGATACCTGGCACAATCACAAGGAATTTGTACACATTTATTAAGCCTCTTCTCATCCGTGGTTAATAAAAGTCTTTTTCTGCTCGTATTTCCCCCCCCCGCCAAACTTTCCTAAAACGAAGAAAATCCCTCTAGAAAGTATGATACACAGCAGGCGACTGCTGGTAAAGTTTGGCGCTAGTGGGCCCAGTGGGCTTACAGGAAGTCAACGGTCTTCAGTGTGAGGGCAGGATCCACATTAGACTAGACTAGGCTTGGACTCTGCGTCTGTTGTCACAGCTGTGTCCCCAGGGCATAGATTAGCAACTGGCATCTAATAGAGTTTCAATAAATATTTGTTGGATAAAGATATTTGCCTTATTTGGCTGGGGGTAATCCCTAGGATACCCTGGGGACTGACCCCCTCCCCTGCAAGACTCCTAATTGCCTGATGTTGGTACTTTCTGCTTTGCCAGGTCCCTTTTGCTGGGACACACTTTTAATTTTATTTTAATTTTTAGAATTTTAATTGACATAATTGTATATATTTATGGGGCATTGTGTGATATTTCAGTTTATGTATGCATGTGTAATGATCAAATCAAAGTAATCAACATATCTATCACCTCAAACATGCAACGTTTCTTTGTGTTGGGAACGTTCAAAATTCTCTCTTCTAGCAAATTAAAAAGTATACAATAAATCGTTGTCAATTAGTGTCACCCCACAGTGCTGTAGAGCACTGGAACTTACTGTTCCTATCTAGCTATATCTTTGTAACCCACTTTTAAATATTATAACATGTTTATTTTTTGAATATGTGAAACATGAACAGGAACATGGTTCTAAAAATCAAAATTATGCATAAAGATATACTTAAAGAAGTGACTACACTTCTATTCCTTCTATTCCTGTTCCCATTCCCCTTTCTTTCTTGGTTAATACATAATCTCATTCATTTATCCCAATCTCATTAATTTATCTTTTCTGTGCCTTTTTGTTTTTACAAACTAACAGATATATGTACATCATTTTCCTATTTTTCTTCTTCCTTCCATGGCAAGGTGGCTTAATATGGTTTAATACTCTTTCTTGTTCTTGAAAAGCGGTCACATTAAGTTTCTTGGAATGATATCAAGCTTCTGGTTGCTACCTGCATATGGCTGCTGCTTTATAACACAGAGGATGTCACAGCTGCAACAATGATGCTTAGAATGTAGAATGTCACCAGCACACTTTTACCTGGTGGACTGGCATTAATGTGCCAAATTTCACCAGCCTGATGAAGAACACTTTTATTTGTAATGATACTTTCATCATCAAAATTTATGATGTGGATCTAATTATCGTATTTTAGAGATGGGTTGACCACTGGTGCATCCTTTTTCTGCTGCCACAGGGCAGGCACAACTGCAGTTGCTCACACACCTGAAGCCCCCTCACTAGCACAGGCCCTCCCCAAAACATGGGCTGCTTCTAGCACCCATTCATTCAAATGGATATTCTTTTGCAGTTTGATTTTTTCACTTAACAATATATCCCATAAATCACATCACGTTGGCTCAGAGAGATCTTATAATTTTCTACAATTGCCTAGTACTCCATTGTGTGAATGTACCACAGCTTATTCAACTACCCTCCTGTGAATGCGCTTTTATATATATGTGTATATATTTATGTGTTGCCAAGTTCCCCTCCAGAATGGTTGTGTAGGTTTGCATTCTACCCGCAATGTATGGGAGTGCCTGCCTCCCGTATCTCCCAGGCAACGGAATGTATGATCAGACCTCTTAATTTTTACCAATCTGATAGGTGAGAAACGGTATCTCAGCATTGTTTTAATTTGCATTTCTCTAATTACGAGTGAGGTGTAACATCTTTTTATTTGTGTAAAGGATATGCATATTTGCATATATATTATACATATTATACATGTATAATATACATATAAGTATAAAAATACATAAATACATACAAATAAATTGACATGCATATTTGCATATATATTATACATATACATGTATAATATACATATAAGTATAAAAATACATAAATACATACAAATAAATTGACATACACATAATTTGTATCTTTTCCGTATTATTTGGTCAATTTTTAAGTTTTCTCTGTTTCAGTGATTTTGGCTATCTGTGCTGTATGTTGCTAATATTTTCTTCCTGTTTGTCAGTCGTCTTTCAACTTTCTTTAATAATGCTTTTTGCCATGAATTTTTTATGTAGTCACTTGTACTATCCTTTTCTTTTCTTGCCTCTGAATTTGAGTCACAGTGAGAAAATCTTTCCCTACATCAAGATTAAAGAGGAATTCACCCATATTTCTTCCAGTATTTTATACGGTTTTGTTGTTTACATTCGAGTGTATTTGAGTGTATGGTGTGAATTAAGGATCTAATACTACCTTTTTTCAAATCGCTATGCTGGGACCATTTTAACGGTTTGCCCGGGGTCACCTTCAGAGGCGATCTCTGCGAACCCCTTAAAAGTCAGTGCAAAAATCTCGGGGTTAGTGGGAGGAGCAAGGATGAAACGGAGAGTGGAGGGGGAGAAAAGACTTCTTTACTGCAATTGTTTAAAGACAAACTGGCCAGTGAAGGGGGTGGGGTTGGGGAATCTGTTCTGGTGGGCACCTCGGTTCTCCGCGTCACCGCTCCGCACCCCGCTTCCCGGCTTCCCGGCTCGTCGCGGCGGAGCCTAGGACAGAGAGCGGGGCTGGATTCCTCGGGCGGCTCCCGCGCTCACGACACACCTCCGGAATGGAAAAGAAAATCCTCAGCGGCCGCGGGACGGCCAAGGCTCCACTGTGCGGCGATGGGAAGCTGCGGGCGGGGACCCGGCTGGGATGCAGCCGGGCGACGCTTATCTGCGCCGCGCTCGCCAGCTCCGTTTCAATTAACATTCCAACGCCCGACCGCCTGGCCGCTGAGAGCGCCGGGCCACCGACCCGCGGGAGCAGCGTCCCAAGCGACCCCTGGAAAAATAAACTGTAGGCCCCGGCGGCTGTGTGTGTGTGTGTGTGTCTCTCTGTGTGCGTGTGTGTGTCTGTGTGTCTCTGTGTGTGTCTGTGTGTGTGTCTGTGTGTGTGTGTGTGCGTGTGTGTGTCTGTGTGTCTCTGTGTGTGTCTGTGTGTGTGTCTGTGTGTGTGTGTGTGCGTGTGTGTGTCTGTGTGTATCTGTGTGTGTGTGTGCGTGTGTCTGTGTGTCTCTGTGTGTGTGTATCTGTGTGTGTCTGTGTGTGTGTCTGTGTGTGTCTGTGTGTGTGCGTGTCTCTGTGTGTGTGTCTGTGTGTGTGTCTGTGTGTGT